ATTTGTCATTAGAGAGGGGCATATTTAGACGTAATTTTTTTTGAAAAAGTGGGCGTGGTCCCGCCCCCTACTAAGTTTTTTGTACATATCTCGGAAACTACTATAGCTATGTCAACCAAACTCTACAGAGTTGTTTCATTCAGGCATTTCCATACACAGTCAAAAATGGAAGAAATCGGATAATAACCACGCCCACCTCCCTTATAATGGTTATGTTGAAAATCACTAAAAGTGCGTTAACCGACTAACATAAAACGTCAGAAATACTAATTAACGGAAGAAATTTCAGAAGGAAGCTGCATCCAGGCTTTTTTTAAAAATTGAAAATGGGCGTGGCGTCGCCCACTTATGGCCTAAAAACTATATCTCAGGAGCTACTCGACCGATTTCAATGAAATTCGGTACATATTAGTTTCTTAACACCCCGATGACATGTACGAAATATAACGCTATTTTGAATTCCATCTGATGCCTTCTCTGTATAATATATACATTAGGAACCAATGATGATAGCGGAATAAAACTTTACAGAAATACGGTATTTGATGCGAGAGTATAAAATGTTCGGTGACACTTGAACTTAGTCCTTCCTCACTTGTTTATACAAAAATTGTAAAATATAGAGCAAAAATTCTTCATTACTTTCACTCATTTTTGAACAGGTGTAACTTTTTTTCAACTTTCCGAATTTAATATATGACACAATGTGATAGCTAGCACTGAAGATATACAACATGGTTGAAGAAGTACAAACATAATGGCAAACCTTTATCTTCCTAATAAAGTTGAATTTGTGGCCATAACAGTAAATTATATGCTTATATTATTATTGCTCTTGAAACTCATACTTGTTTCTGTTAATAAAATAAAAAGGATCGAGGCACCTTCTCTGAAGGTAGGAGAACAAATCTGATAAGGATATGATAATTTATTCTCGATAATTAGACCATAGCCATAATCTTATTTACACAATCTGGATAAGAAGATCAGTGCATTTGGAGGCTTCGCCGACAAACGGTATTGTAAATGTTAATTGTGTTAATTGCTTCAATGATTTTTTTTTCAATTCAAACATTTAAATTTTTAAACAATCTTCATATTTCCTGGCTTAACTTCAAACTTCATGAGTAATTTTCGTTATAGAGTTTGTAGAGTTGCCATATGCCACCAATTATTTCTTTGTATTAGCCCGTGCCTCTCATTAAGCCAGCCGATTTTGATTTAATTATACGAATTTGCTGTCAAATTACGCTCCTTTTGAAGAACTCAACAACTTTTGAAAGGAATAACCACAAACAAATACGCAAGCCATGCAAAGTGTGCACAGAAGCAGAGGATACTTTACCAACTGTGGTGCTCCACGTTTTGCCTTTCGCCTTACGTCGCTGCACCGCGCACTTCCGTCGCCGCATACGAGCGCACACGCAGCCGCAATAAATCCACATATGGCAAATGGTATGCGGACAACACAACAGGCAACAGCTGCTGCAACATGCATTTGTGCAATAACAGCAATAACAACAACAACAAGTTGCAGGCAACATAGCACAAAAAGGCAGCAAAGCGTCGCGGAGCGAGAGAGCGCGAATGAGCAACTAAATAATGAAATTGCCAAATTAACATACCCGACACACTTGCCTTGGCCACTTTGCATGCTGGCCAATTTCATGTCAACTTAAATGTTGGCAGCCGGAAATACTGGATGTGTAGTAGCACGCATACCAGCACCTACGTGCATTTATTTCGATATGCAAGCTGGCGGGAGTGCAGTGCGGAGTGCAGCTCATTGGCAGCCGAGGCAGGCTTGTGGCGGCCTGTGTGTGTAAGGCTGTGGCTGCCACTTGCGCCGCCAGTCTCAATTTCTGTCGCACTGTGCTCACAATTCACCAGCAACCGCATAGGCAACAACAGCTATAAAATCAGCCAAACACACACACGTGGCAGCTGGCAGTGGCGGCAATCAGTGGCAGTGGTGGCGGTGGCTGAATTAAGCCAATCATTTGCTGGATTTTCAACAGCCTTAGCTTAATTGAACTTGAAGAGTGGCCGGAGTTGCATGCAACTGGCTGGCTGGCGACTTTCGCAACGGCAGCTTTTTTGTTGCTCTATGTATGTATGTGCGTGTGTGTGTTTTTGTAGTAAAAGTAGCAATAGCTCGTGATTTTGCTGTGTTGTTGCCATATTTTTGCAGACTTTATTTATACCTCTACTAGAATTCTGCCTATATATATATAATATAGATATGCATATGGTATTGTGTGTCTGTGATGTTGTCACGCTGCGCCTGTTTGTTTGCGGAATTCCACCAGAACTTATTACCATAAAATTGTTGCGCGAAGACTAAGTGGAGCCAGCATGTCTGCCAATTAGTTGTGCTGCACTTTTTTCCTGTTCCTTTCCGGCTGTTTCTCAAACTCAAGTTTGCGTTCTTACAAGATTCGTATACACTTATGTATATGCATATAAAGAGGTATAGGAAGTAAGGAGGAGCTTAGTTCGGGTATAACTGAAAATGTATACGCTTGCAAATTGCAAGGATTACAGCCAGGGAAGTGACTTCAAGTACATAAGGCTTGTTAGTAATATCAGAGCTAGGTCAAGTTTCCGCCCGATTTTATTCTTGCTAGCCACAAATGTGCATCGTTATAAAAAAAAATCACAAAGTCCAATTTTATTATGAAGACTCTTATATTGGTCGAAATATTTGGTATGAAGTCACCTAGAAGTCCGAAAATGTTTATGTTAAGGCTAAGGGAAGTATTGGCCCGATTCAACTCATTTGTAGCACACAGACATACTACTATCGGGAAAGCATTCTCTTTGAGCTTCTATGATATATCTCAAACATTCACCGATATTTTCGCTAAAAAATCAACTATAAACACTGGGTCAACATATCCAGTACCTAGGAGCTTAAATAGTTTTGGTTCGATTTACGGTTCAGTCATACGTAAAGCGGTACTTCTCAAATGCGTTATTCGAGTAAAGTTTTATCCTAATATATTGATTGATTTTTGATTTGCATACCGGAAAGTGAAAGAGCCAAATGGAATTTAAAATTGTGTTATATACGGGAAGTAGGCGTTGCTGTGGTCCAATTTCGCCCATTTTCACACTGTGATATAAGAGTGTCAGAGAAATATCATGCATCAAATTTGGTTCAAATCGACAAGCCAGGTCTTAAGTTATGTGATTTCACCTAAAAGTGGGCGGTGCCACACCCATCGCTCAAGTTTGACTCCGGCTAAATTAAAGGAATCTCATACCATCTCGGAGATAAACTTTAATGTCTCTGGCGTTATGACACTTTATACGTTTTATACGGTTAATGGCGATTTGTGGGCGCGGCAGTGGTCCGATAACGCCCATCAATGAACTCGCATTTTTTTTACTAAGAAACACGCGTAACAAGTTTCATCAAGATATCTCAGTTTATACTCAAGTTACAGCTTGCACTGACGGTCGGACGGATGGACAGACAGACAGTCAACCGGATTTGAACTCTTCTCGTCATCCCAGATTTAGGTGATAAATACAAACACTAGGTGAACAAAACTGTTATAGTCTGTTTTAATATGTTGCAAGGGTATAAAAACAACAACAACATCTATATTACAACAGTACTTCTCGAATTGCTTAATAACGGTTCGCTTCACAAAAAAAAAAAAAAAACAAAAAAATATCGTGTTGCCTTACAGTGTTTTTGTTTTTTTTATTAATTTAATGAAGATATAAAGCAGAGGTAAGTACCAGATATTGCCAGGAAGTGATTGTTAGTAGTTGAAGTAAGTACTATTACTTAAGAGGATATGTTAGATGCACTCATAAATTAGATTATAATTAGGCGTCATAAAGTTTTGTTCAGCACATGAGAAAAAGAAAGAAAAAGTGTCCACTTCATTAGCGAAACTCTAAAGTAACGGAGTTTTTTTTTTTTTTTAATTATAAAAATATGGAGCTCTATTCGCGCTTTGAGTATTATTTTCGTAATATAACAACTATCTTACTAATATATTCAGATCGAGAAGACTGCAGGAAATGTCTTAGGCAGGGAAGCAATACAGCATCTCTTATGCACTTGTCCCGCATTGGCAAGACTACGTTGTAAGAATATGGGGTTACACGGTATGATACACTGAATGAGATATTGATAGTGAGACCATAGAGTCGGTTAAGTACCGTTATATGGAAAATTCGCGTCAAGCGCAGGCATTCTAAATGATGACTACCTCTCGTGGACCTAGTAACTGAACACAATCTGATATCGGAAAGGACCAAACCTGATCTTTGCGTGGTTTATTGAACTTTGTTGTTTGTTTGAGATGAAGCTTACTTTTGGTTGAATGGACATGTTCCCCAACAAAACAAAATTGTTGCATTCGAAGTTCTCTATGGTCAGATGGAAACATTGGCCTACTATATATTTCTTTGAAAATTAAGCATTGTCTCTAAAATTCTGCAATTTAACACCTTCAGACTATTTTTGTAGTTTTTAAGGTCGTTTTTTTACGCAGACGAGACTGACTCGATTGACGACTTGTAAAAGAATATTCGGCGACTTATTCCTGAGAAATAGCCCCAATTACTGAAAAGCGTCCAAACGTCCATAATTCTGCTAAAATTTATTTGAGCTAGCCGCGACGGTCACTTTCCCGAAATAGTTTTTAAAGCTTAATGGCAAATCCTTATCTTTATAATAAAGTTAAATTTTTGGCTAAAACATTAAACTGTATGCGTTTTATTTCTTCTAAAAAATCACATATCTAAACAAACACCCTTTTAAATTTCATACATTGTCGAAGACTGCCAGTTTTATTCAATTCCACTAAATATTTTCATATTTATTTTTTGATCGGTATTGGGAGGCCAGAGTGCGTTGCTACTCAAAAACTAACTAGCCTCCAAAAATTTTAGAAACAATTAATAAATATACACTTACTATTTATATAATATATATATAATGTTTCACATATTTTTTGTAATATTTTTTTTTTACTCACCATTAAATGTAATATAAATATATGACTAAACCTAAGGTCCCACAATCGTGTAGGACCTTTTTGAGGGCTCCACATTTTGGAGCTGTGCGCAATGTCAATGAATCTGAAAATGAGAAGAAAATGAGTTTAGTAGAAAATTTGTAAAATACATAACAGCTTCTTTGTCAAATTGCTATTAGCTGTACATTTCTTTTCTTAATTATAGCTTTATAAAATTTACAGTTCAAGTTATTACAAAACTTTTTCGGATTCTTACAACTGGTTATGTATATGCAGAAAGAGGAGAAGGAGATTATGAAGTACTTTATTAAAATATCAGTGAAACTATGTAATCTATGAAGACAATTGGTCAGGTCTGCTCAGACTTTGGCTAGCGCTAGAACAACCATTTTGATACACTCCAACGTAATCTTAAAACTCCGTACTAACGCTATTACTATCTGTGTTGATTCGGTTTTTCTGCTTCTTTTTTATTGGCGCTTACACGGTGAATCTTGTTTTTCGCTATTTGGAGCCAATTTTAAATTCCAAGTGTGCTTCTCCAACTGGTATTTCCCATGGAGTTGTGGTTTTCCTCTTCCTTTGCTTCGCCCGGCGGGTACTCCGTCGAATACATTCAAAGCTGGAGCTTTTTCAACCATTCGGACGACATGAAACGTAGCTGCTGTCGTTGTATATCTAGATGTGCGAGATTCATTTCATCGTCTGCGTTATTCACCGTTGCCAATACGCAAAGGACCATCTTCCGCGAAACGCGTAACACCGACTCATCAGATGCTGTCATCGTCTATTCATTTGCACCATATAGCAGGACGGGAATAATGAGGAACTTATAGAGTTTGGTCTTTACTTCTCAATTGCCTACTCAGTCCAAAGGAGTACCCGTTTGAGCCATGTCGGGAATGCGACGACTGCTTGTTTGATGGCAGGGGATAATTCGTCTTGTCCTCTCTTCACTACCAGAACCATTTGCTTAGCTTCTTTGTTCAACCTGGAGAAAGCTGTCTCGATAAATCTACAGTGTTGGACTGATAGCTGTTCGATATCTGAAGGATTCTAATCTCCACTTATTAATTTTTACAAAAGTCAGGAACTTGCGAATATGATCAGATTAGAGCTCACAGCTACCCTATAAGCACCACATGTTTTTGGGATATCTAATGTTAGAAGTAGAGGCTACCGATTTCGGAATAATTTTTTAATATGCAAGTTGAATTCTTTTCCAACAGATCGGTTGGTACTGTGTTGCATTAATTAACCAATACTGTTGCATATTTTATTTCTCCGTGCTTATGAATTGCTCCACAGAATAAACCTAGGCTCAGTGCTTACAGTCCAAAAGTACTCACGAAGTTTGACAAAAAAAAAAAAAAGAAGGAGATACTATACTTCGTTATTCAAATAAAAAAGTCGCACCAATGGCGCTGTTCAATTTGTACCTTGTGGTGTACGTAGATGCCTTACTTTCTGAAATCAAATATAAGAGTTTAGGTTAGATTATGTTCATTGGCTTAACCTGACACCACCTTGGACTATAAGTTCTTATAAGTCAGCAAGGCAGCTATGGAAAAAACAAATTTGTTCAGGCGTTTAACTTCTACATCCACCAGCTAGGGATGCAGGTGTGAGCTCTCAAGTGTTTAAGCCTTAACTTCGCATGTTTCCAACTCGCTTTCTACCATACAGCTTCTACAGCTGGCGTCCGGTAGGATTTGCAACCTTACAAAATGAACGCTGATAGGGAAATGACCTATTAGAATTCCTATAATAAGGGCAAAGGGAACAATTTTGAGTTAAAAGAATCTTGCGGTAATGCATGTTTCGATGATAGCTCAGCGTTGGTCAAGCTCCCGCTTAGCGCAGTTATCAAGTAGTACAACGGACGATAAGAGGGGAGCACCGACCAGTTCCCATTCTACTGATAGTGGGTCATCGTAATTACGTTTTTTTTTGTTTTTAGTAAAAAGTGTTTTAGGTTTTACTATATTCGTGCAAAAAAGTTCGATAATATGTTTGGAATAACTCTTAATATATTTATCATATTCTAAAGGACTTAAAATCAACGTCACTTTCGAAATAAATAGGTTTTAAGCATTATTAGCATTACTTTCTAAATATTTTACACCTTTTACGTATTTCCCACTGAGAGCTATCCAAAAGAACTCATTTCGGTTGTTATGTTGTTTACTCGTCAAGGCTGTTAGGCAGCCACTTGAGTCTGCATTTCCTGCTTCCTGCTTCTTATGTATTTTGTTATTACACTTCCAGCCCTGACTTGAGCCATGCTTACTGCACGACAATTATGAAATATCTGAGCTTGACTATGTCTCCACTTGTGCCGAAAAATTTCAAAAATTCACTTCACGTTGCAAGTAAATACACACGCACATACACTCAAACACTGGCAATTATTTACTCGCATTCATGCAAGTGGCTTAAAGATGCGACTATTATGCAGCTAATTTGCCAAACTGACAGCGGAGAAGCAGCCGGCAGCAGGCAGAGAATTCTCATTGAGTTTAATGAGTGCACACTTGAGAGCGTTCACTCCCGGTGAGGACCTTGCTCGCCCCCCTTTCGCGTTGACTTTTCATTGTTGCAGTATTCACCTACTAACCAGCTCAGCTAACTACATAAAACAACAACAAAACAGTGTTTTGTGTACAACAACACTGCATACTTGAAATTGCAACGAATTTTAATGATCTTAACCCACTTTGACGTAAAGTGAGGCAAAGTGAATGAGAAGTTAAGTTAAGTAGGAGTTGCTGTTGTTGCTCTTGTTRTTGTTGTTGCAACAGTGGCAGCCAAGCAGTTGGGGTTAACAACTGCTGATTATACGAATGCGAGCAGACGTGTGCAGCGTGACGAAGCAACAGTGAGTGGCTGGGGGCGAAGCTTCTTATTTATGTGTGTGTATGTGTCTGTGTGCCTGTGAGTTGGGTGCGCATGCTGCATGCCACATTCACTAGGCAAATGAATACGTTAAATTTGATACAGAATTTAAAGCGTTGCATTTCAATTTTCCACAGTTACACACACATATAAGCACATGCCACACACACACACACACAAACGTGCATACCCACATTACAGTTAAATACGCTGCACTGCAGTTGAACGTTGCAGTGTAATGCAGCTAAATAGCTTGTTGTTGCATATCACTATTGTCAGCAGCCAAAGCAACAAATTCAAAGCCAAACTGCAACAACTAAAACAACCATAATAATAATAATATGTGGCAGACCTAAGCACGCATTTATATACACATCTATGTGTGCGTGTCTGTATGTGTAAAAGTATATTCATGCGGCCAAAAAGCGGCACACACTCCAGGCGTGGGTCTCGGTCACTGCCTCTATGTCTGTCTCAGCCTTTGTATTTTTATACCCTGAATAGAGTAGTTTTTACAGCCAAAGTTTTTTATAGCCAAAAAGAATAGTCGGACACCTTATGAAATATATGAATCGAATTAGCCATGACCGTCTCTTCCAGATTTTAAGATATCGTTCTGAGGTTTTGCGTCCATCTTTGTTTCTTCAAGGAGCTGCAGATTTGTCGAAACCGGCGATATTGAACCGTTATAGCGTATAGCTGCCGCACAAAGTGACCGATCAAAATCAAGTCCTGATATGGAAAACTCTTTTCTATCTCCACCAAATTTGTTATGTATTATTTTCCAATAAAAGAGTATAATCTCAGAATAAATTATTCAGATCGGACCGCTTTTGTCTTTAGCTGTCATATAAACTGAGTGGTCAAAATTAAGTTTTTCTATGAAGAACTTTTTTATTTGAAAAGGTATTGTCCCTAAATTTGGCAGAAGTTATTCTTCGAAGTAACGGTATAATTTCCGAACGAATTATTCAGAAATTGAATCTGATATTCAGATCGCTATAGTCCTTAGGTGCCATACAAAGGGAACGATCAAATCAAGTTTCTGTATGGAAAACTTTTTTAATTTACTTTTTATCATCTCGAAATTTTACACAGATCAATGTACAATATAACGGTATAATCTTCGAACAAATTATTTTCATCGGCGGATCACTACAAATTGATCGGGCAAAATCAAATTTTTGTATGGAGAACTGTTTTATTAGACAAGATATCTTCATAAAGGTTGGCACGAGTCATCATCCAAAGAAATGGTATAAGCTCCCAAGAATTTTTTTCAAAGCGGACCACTATAGCATATAGCTGCCATACAAAACAATCTCATAAAATTAATTTATTATAATAAAACTTTTTATTTGTGAAGGGTATTAAAGCTTCAGCGCAAACTAAGTTACCATTTTTTTGTTTTTGTAAAAGTGTACAAGTATGTAAGTGTCTGGCAACCGCATTCTAAGTGCCAATGTTGACGATCGCGTTCACGTTACATTTTGACTGCTTTGAACTTTTTATGGCCGCAGCGCGGCGCGTTGCTCACATTTCACAGTCGCTTGCCACTTGCCGCACATACCACACATGCCACACGGCAACTAGTTGCAATTGGCGGCATTATGGTTGCATGCTTGCCACACATATATTCACTGCCACAATTGTTGTTATTACTGTTGCATATGTGTGGTAACATATATTGTTGTTAGTATTATTGTTGTTGTTGCTGTAGCCTGACTGTAAGTACTGTGAAATCGCGGCAATTGCTGGCTTGTTGTGGCATAATTTATTGTTGGCAACAATAGTGATCGTTGCGGGTGCCAGGCGATATCCAGTTACCCACGCAATGCGCAACACACACACATGCATAAACTTACTTAAATGCAGACGAACGTTAGTGCTCCCCAGTGCACACATAGATTTTCGTACGCCGTTCTGCTCTGTTATCCACCGCCGCCTGGCTGTGTGTGTGTGTGTATGTGTATATGAGGGCATGAGTTGCAACAACGCCTCGTGGCAGCAATTGTTACTTGACGCTCTATACCTATGCGTGTTTATGTTGTTGTTAGCAGTGGTTCACCGTATTTTGTTGCTGATTGATTAAAGTTGATACGCTTTGTTGTGCATGTGGTGGTTGCGCCAACAAAGCAACAACTACAATAAACTTAGTTAATTCAGTGTTATTATTGTTATTGTTGCTTACGTTAGTTGGCAGCTTTT